ACCGATCACGATCGACCACCTTTCTAATGGTGACAACTCTATTCTCTACCCAAGGTTCCCAACTTCGCTCCTTTCCCCTTATCCAACTCAACGCCACCTCTGAATCCGACCAACAGAATATTTCATCCAACTCTACACGCCCTCGTATACCAAGTACAACTTCATTGATCAACTTGCTCAATAACAAACACCCCAATAGTTCCAACCTGGGAATAGTAAGGGTTTTTAAAGGCGCCACCTTAATTGGTTTTCGCCGCCAAAAAAGATACTTTTGCACTTTTACTGCAAACAAACCGCAGATAAATGACCGCACTATAGACTTCTTTTGAACTATCACAAAACCCGTGAAGTTCAACTCGGATTCCGGAATGAAAATTTAAATGAAAAACAAACCGAGGTTGTCTTACTTCCCGCAGAGATTTTAATTCCTCTAAAAACTTGTTCCAAATTGACGCAAGTGCCGGTGGGATAAGGTCATCCCAATTTAATTTGTCTTTACATAACAACTGAAATATTGTTTTGATTCTGGCGGTGACAGGAGCAATCACACCCAATGGATCGAAAATCGAGGCCGATACTCAGTAAATTCCGCTTGGTTTGCTCCAGGCTCGCACATTTGTTCAAGAAATTATCGAACTGAAAAACAAACTCATCCGTTATGGTATCCCACGCAACACCTAAGACAGCCTGATTTGGCGTAACTAAATTAGGCGACATGACCTCGACATAAGTAAGATCTTCCCCTAGTGGTTGGGAATCAGATTTGTCACCCATTGTCGATGAAATATATGCTCGAAGTTCTGGATCGTTAGTTACCCACTTACGTAATTCAAACCCTCCCTCTAGCATAATGGCTTTACTAGTCTCATATATTTCCTTAGCTGTACCAACGCTATCGCCTCCACTAACCAAATCATCTACGTACAAATCCTCGCGAATACGCTCTATGACTGCATTCTCCTCTACATACTTGCTAAGGTGGTGCCTCAACGTCGCGTTTAACAAGAAAGGACTACTCGTTAGTCCAAAAACTACCCGTAAAAATCTGTAAGTGATTATTTTTTCCTCTTTAGAATTGAGGTCATACCACAAAAACCGTACAAAATCTCTATGCTCCCTAGATATAGCGATGTTAATGAACACCTGTTTTATATCTGCTAGGATGCCTATCTTATTAAGCCTAAATCTCACTAGGATGTCAAATATCTTGGCAATAAGATTTGGTCCTGAATACAAACATTGGTTAAGTGAGGGGTCATTAACCTGACACGAAGCGTCGAAAACTGCGCGAATTTTCATAGTCTGCTTGTCGTCACGCACGACCGGTCGATGCGGGAGATAATGGATAATTATTCCGTTTTTCTCGTACTCTGTGAAGATCGTATCATACTCCCTGAGAATTCCTTTGGATGTTAAACGCCGTTTTAGAGATGTTAAACGCCCTTAATTCACATACACTAAAGTTGTCTGGCAGCTGCTCATGGTCTGGCTTAAAGGGTAATTTCGTTACGTCCATTAAAAATCAAAGACTCGAACGAGTTTAAAATGTGTGTTCTGCGCATAGAAATCGCGCACGACCACAATTCCATGCGCTAGATAAAATTTAGTTCAAAGATCAAAACCCCCTGTCTGCATATAAGGTTGCTGCTACGTTCGCTCGCTTCAGGCTCGCTCGCTCCGCAGCAATTAAAGCGAACGGGGCGCAATTCGACGGCGAAGAGGTACGATTTTCATTCACGAATACTTTAAGACATTAGTAATTACTGTGGAGTTTAAAAACTCCAACATCTGCTTAAACCAAATCTGCGCGATTTTTAGTTGTTAAAAAATAATCAAAAATATGTTAATTTTAAAGTACTGTAAGTAATTTGGGATTGCAAAGTATCCGTGAATGAAAACTAAAAACATACCGCGTCGCCGCCGCCGAATTGCGTCCCTTTGGCTAAAATTAATATTTAACATATAAAGCGTGTCTTTAGTTTAAATCCCGTTTCCTGTAAGATGCATGCATTTACAGTCTATTAATTAAAAAAACTTGCGCGTTGGAACAATATTCTATAGACGCTAATGTCTAATTGAAATTAATAAAATTATATAGAGAATAATACATGGTTGCGCGGAAATACCAGATTTATTTCGAGTGTTGAACATGATATCTCACGAGTAAGCGCAGCGAACGAGTGAGATATCACGTTCAACACGAGAAATAAATCTGGTATTTCCAAGCACCCATGTATTTTTCTGTTTATTATATGAAGGACAATTTTTGAAAAGCGATAATTTTTACAGAAAAGCGAAAATTGAAAAGCGATAATTTTCTCATGTGAGAGTACATAAAGATTTTGAGATTATCACTTTAATCAGTGCTCGAAATCTCTATAAAGCACTGATACTTTATATAATAAATGTTATTAAAATCACATATGTGCACAGCGCTGTTATAATCTATAATATGCCATAAGCATAAGTTATTTATGACAACTGATTCGCATTGTATTCAGTACCGGATTCCCCGATTCCCCGATTCCCCGATTCCCTGACCTATTCTGTGATTAGGGCCTGAACTTCAGGTTACCGATTCCCCATTCCCTGTTTTAAAGATAGCCACTCCGGCCAAAGGTATAAACACAAATTATTCGAACTCACACCTTCGGGATTTCGGTTCGCTGCTGCAGCTGTTGATATAGCAAGTCACACAAGGTTCAAAGCGGCCGCTTTATTCACGATGTTTACAATGATAAACAGTTACAGTATAAATTGTGTTGTGTGACAAATTTCCAGTGTAGAAATGTACAAGAAATGAAGCGAAGTGTTGTCAAACTCTGCACTCCTCGGTCACAAATTATGTGGAATCTTACTTCGAACTCGTCATATACTTCATCTTATATAATTAATGTGGATCAAAACAAAAAACGTAGACAAAGCACGCGCATGCGCAGAAGGGACTGTAACCTACCTTTAATAAATCTGGTAGGCCTATGTGATTGTGCTTTTTGCCTCTGGTCTGCAATGACAATGACATGCTTTTAAAAAGGTTTATTTATAAAAAGGTGACTGCACTTTGTGACTTCTTATATATTATCATATAGTGTTGATTTATTAGTAATAAATCTGTGTATATAACATTGGTATATAAATTAATATAACGCAGCAATAAACGCGGCTGAAATACGATATTAAAATCTTGAATGTGCCTAAATCTTGAATGAATCTTGAATGTATGATTTAATTATGTTTTAGGATTTAAAGCCTTTAAAAATGCTTTGTCATTTGTATTTGTACTTGTACTTGTATCACAACACAGTGCATAAGTGAACAGATTCCACATGTGAGGTTTTCTTGTATATATTTTTGCCTTCTTTGATAAACATTATTAAACACGCAAATTTAGTGAGACGCACACTCGCACATGTTAAATGTCACCTGCATGTCATTGTCATTGTCCTTTAACCCCTGGTCTAAAATCATATGATTATTGAAGCATTTGACTTTGGGCCGTTTTGACCTAGCATCGTATTTGTGGGCAAATTGTCTATACAATTTTATATACTAGATATCACAGCCATACCTGCCATTTTGATCTTTTCCTCGCGTTAGATAAGTTGATAAGTACACTCGTTCTTGTTAGCCATCGTACCTGTTCGGCTGTTCCCCCTGACTAAACTTCGAGCGCCGAGTTATCATACGGCACATTCAAGTATACAAATTATGGATGATTCCAATTCATTACGAATATTTCTTACTCTTATTCTTTAAAATATTAAGAGGCAATTTTTTTTCAATGTCACGTATTTGCAATGAAAATTGTTCAAAACCTAAAATCTTTTTGGCGTTTCTCTCAAAATTACTTTGTTTTAGCTTTATTCTCTACAGTTTATAGAGTTAGCTACCTTTTTAAATGCGTCTACCGGTTGAGAAACATAAAATAATAGTTAAAAATAATTGCCAATTAAAATACAGTTATCAATGATGCCTTAAAATTGACGCTATATTTACAGCCATTTAAGCAAAACGTACTGAACTTCAGACATCATTTTCTCTTTGGCGTATTATCTAAAATCTCTTCATTTTAGCATTATTTTACAGATAAAGCACTAAACATACTTTTTAAGTTTTTTTTACCGATTGAGAAACGTATCGAAAAATAAAAATTTTGATTTTAGTCCGGCATAATCTCATGTGGTATATTATACGCATTAGTTTTGAGCGCGTGCTACGTAACATACAAAAAAATCTCATTTAAAGATTTGGGAACAATGCTATACCAAGGCAGCATTCACTACCCTGTGGGTAAACTAGTTATATTATTATCATGAACAAAATTAATTTTAAGTGTTTTGCAGTTTGATTGAAGAGCAAGGTTTTCGCAAATAAGTTGAAATAACGGACGAAAAGGCGCATATATTTTAGGATGCGATTTGCCCGGGATTAATTACTGAGTAAAAATGGTGCTTACACTCGCAATTTTTCGCTCGCTGAATGCTCTCAAAGGTCTTTGAAAAGTTTTTGAAAATAAGCAGAAACTTTTTCTGAAAAATCCTTGAAAGTCTTTGAATTTTTGTAGAATATGAACCCTATTATATCGCCATCCTGGTTCCAAATGGTTTAGACTTTAGTATGTTGAATGTTGAACCTCTAAACGAATTCCGTTTCGTATATTTGGGAGAAATTCCGTCTTCCAAAGGCAAAGCTCTTTTAAGCTATTTTAATAATTATACTAAGCGGCTCCTTCCCTGTCAAAATGAATTGAACAGGAGTGTGAACAAAAAGATTCGAGTAAAGCTCCAGCAAATTTAAGGTATATGTTGGGACTATTGTCGGCTTCCAGTGTCACGCGTCTTCGCCGAAGCAGTGTATTTTTGTCAATTTTTTATGCAGTGAATCTGACGGGGGGAGGGGGGGGGGGGATTAACCTCAAATGTATTGATGCTCATGCTGTACTAGAGTGAAAAAATGATACGAAATTCCATGTATTTGCCAACAAACACAAAGGTAATTAGGTAATAGGTATACTGACAGTGGCGAAACTAAGGGAATTCGACTAGTCATGCTCTAAGACCCGCACAGGCTAGGGGGGTCCGGGGGCATGCACCCCCGGGAAAATTTTGATTTTCGAAGTCTGGAATGGCCATTTCCTGCGATTTCAGGGTGAAATTCATGCAAAGAAAGCTACAAAAAGGTGTGATATAAAGAGGAAAATTCTTAATACGTTTTGTTTTTAAAATTTGTATTTCCACAAAATTTAATTTTATTTCACTATATATTTAAACTTATCTGCAAATGACGCTCAATATAGCCAATATTGGCAGAAGAAAGAGGATAATATTGTATGTGTACATTTTAATACCCTGCTGAGTGCTGTAATATGATCTTTCATTTGGAATTGCGTAAAGGTCAACTGTAATGTACAGTGTCTACAAGGACCTTGTAAATCTGAAGCAGAAACCTAATGTTGAAAGATACTTTGTTTAGATATTTGGTATACCTGTAAACCTCAAAATATATAAGCACTCGTGAATAAAGCAAATGAACTGGTAGTAAATATATTTATATCAATAGGAAAGGCCTTCACAAATCTTGTTTATATTCGCCATTATAATACAGTAGAATACACAATTGAGTCTGTTCACATGCATTTCGTGAGCTAAAATATCTTGTTAGAAGCCAGAAGGCCTTCCTACTATTCACTCGATTGACGTTGGTCAATTTCCATAGATATATAACCAAGATCACTTGAATAAATCTCGATAGAATTGCTGAATAATTTACGGCATTTAACTTGGTCGTGCTTTCAAAGATGAGCACGACCAGAAGATAAAATTCGGCGAGATACGCATGCGCGAGGAGCAATTTAGCCAATAGAATGCGTTGGAATTGATAATTTAGTCGTGCTGGCCTGACGAGAGCACGACTAACGGGCGGGTTACCCATTAGTCGTGCTATTAACCTGCGGTCGGGTGAAACTACGCAACCATACCTTGAATTGGTTTAAAATCATGGCAAAATCACCGGATTTGAAGGGATTTCGCACTTAATAGATGACGCAAGTGTACGACGAATCATTTTTAAAATTTTGGGGGAATTTTTTTTTAAGACTAAAAAATTCTTTTCTTCGAAAAAATTTTACTCGTGCTCAGCACGACTAGCACGACCTCTAGCTTCGCCACTGGGTATACATCAAACGAACAATCGACTCACTCCGATAACTGTGTTTTGTTTTCGAGACGACTTCCCGTCACTTCTGTGACGTCATATGAAACGGTGATCAAGCTGAACTTCCGAATCAGTGCATTTTTGTCACACTCAGGGTCACGCGTCATCGTCACAGTGCTGAAGCAGTGTATTTTTGTCAATTAATTAACGGATGTGACGACAGACCTTTAATAAGTCTGGCTTCAGAACGCATAAATTACTTTGTAACTGCATGATCATACTTTTGGTATCATCGCCTTGAATCACGTCTCGGATGATAAATTATGCGCACGTGGTGCTAGACATGCACGTCACAGCCACTGAGAGAGTATATAAAGAGCGAGAATTCAATACTATATAACAATTATTGAGAAGTTTGTGTGATGTTACTCTGAGTGTATATCCACACCGGGCAGGCTTGAAAAATATGCCTGGCCACGGCGGGATTCGAACCTACGACCTTTGGAATACTAGCCCAATGCTCTTCCAACTGAGCTACGCGGACAGGACGGTTCGAGTAAGCGATATTTCGGAACTGAGTCTAGTTCCTTCGATATCAGTATAATCTAATATTTATGAAATCTGCTGTGTTGGTGTAATGTACTATGGTGAATAAGATGTTTGTGTGATGTTACTCTGAGTGTATATCCACACCGGGCAGGCTTGAAAAATATGCCTGGCCACGGCGGGATTCGAACCTACGACCTTTGGAATACTAGCCCAAATGCT